TACTCTCTCTTCTTCTCTCTCTCTCTCTCTCTCTCTCTCTCTCTCTCTCTCTCCCTCCCCCGTCTTCCGACTTATTCTTCCGCAACTTTCACCCTTTCGTGTCCGCGCCGACGGCGGAGCCAATGGCGCGGATAGAAATTCCGGCGGTCTCGGAAGAAAAGCAATCGAGGGAAGATTTCTCCGTGTCGTCGCCAGAGGTGGAGCGCGTCGCGCGGAGGATGATCTATCTCTGTTTTCTCTCGAGTCTCGGCTAGGGTTGGAATGGAATTCTATTGCGAGGTGCGGAGTAGAATTATCAAAATAAAAGTTGGAAAATGCTGTTAAGGATAACGATAAATCAAAACTAATTCTCGATTTAATGATGCTTGATAACCGAGCCGGAATAATACCCGCTTGTTAGCTAACTAAATTAAATATAAGCGAGCAAGCGGTTACGATTTGTCGGTAAGTTTGAGCGGAAATATCAACAGGTTTGTTATGGCAAAGAAATTAATTGCACCATAGCAGCAACGCGAAATTCTTAATGCCTGAGATCCTCGGAAGATACGCTGCTCCGGAACGCAGCCGCTTTCTGTTTTCTTTTAATACCGCTTCAAGATAAATCGCTCGAGGAGTGTTCTCTTGGGAGACGTAGATAGGTATATTTTTAGATAAATCATTTTCGTGCTGTTAAACTGCTCGCGGTTTTTCTTGCAAAATGTAAAACCATCGTGAACCAACGAATTTAAAAAGCGACTGCGTTCTTCTGATTTCAGAGAGAAACTTTGCAAATAAAATTATTATAATCAAAATTACTATAATGTATGGGCGAATAATCAAAAATTATTGTTAGAGAATGAAGATATCTTATGTCGAAAGTTGAATAAGTACGAAAAAGGCTTTGATGAAGCATTTGTCGAGAAAGAATAAACGATTCGGCGAACAAACTTTATGGATGTTAATGTCCGAATAAATTATACATGTCAAAGAGGTGCTTACGGCTTTGAGTGGATTTGACTTCGATGACTAGCTGCCGATCGATCGGCGACTCCAGAATCCAGGTACACTTCTGCTGATAGTACTGATTCAGTTGGAGGCCGGCGCTCGCTAGATCACCGCCATTGACCTCGCCTTCCGGTTCTGTCGTCGTGTGATCGCCACAGTAGGTGTCATTGATAAACTTGTAGGCCGCGTGGAAATTGAGGCCTGCCTTCGACGACTTCGACCATTCGATGTAGACCGGGGTCCAACTGCGGATGCCCACAGGAAGCCAGTCCTGCGCGATAATAGAGCCCGTTAGACGGACGAAACGGGAGCCGAGAGTTATGACGTGGAAAATGGCAGACGGAGGAAATAAAGGGGGAAAAAAAAAAGAAAAGACACGATGGGAAATACGGGCTAAAGGAGCCGTTAAGAAATTGAGAACAAAACGAGCATCGACGATAAAAAGCTGAAGTGAAAACGCGGTAGATCGACGATAACGACGGCGAATAAATTGAATCATTCGGTTTGTCGAATGCGGCTCGCGGAGTCGAAAAAACAATATTTACCGTTTATCGACAATCGCGCAACATACGCTTTAATTATCAATCGCGGATTTCGGATTTAATCCTATACAGTTAAATTACATAGATTTAGCTTGTTGTTTGCATGATAGCCTCAATTGTGTCGGAATAATGAGCATTTGAATATGAAATGATGATCCCACGAATCGAAATAGTATTACTGTTTATAGACTCGCCATAACGATTACATCCTATCAGGTAATCTGATAATAACGTCTATTAATAATCATCATGCAGATAAAGTCAAAGTCAGGTCAGTTGCGCGGTGCGTGTGTGAGATTGCGATGAATGCAAATTTTGCATTGAATAAATTATCTAGCGCGTTGACAGCATTTTTTCCGACTTTTTCCGCTTAATATAAATTTTAAATCGGTCCAACTCGGTGTGTTTTTTGAACGCGCACTAGCTCTTTGTTCGTCGCGTTCGTATGATCGTTACAACAACCGCATGTGAAATTTATTTCGAACAATCAACATTATTGGGTCGCGTTTTATACATTTATATTACAATATTTGATGATAAATGATGAAACCGCCGTAATGAAACTGACGCATATTTTATGCGATTGTTAACAAATGTTGTATATATATTAAATTAATTTTAACAGTTTTCTTGTACAAAATATTATAATAAATCGTTGAATTTATCGACGATAAAGAATATATTTCACGTTTTTAAGACGTCGTGAATAATAAATCTTCTTAAAAAAAAATCACCTTGCTAAGAGCGATATAACAAGCACAAAGAAGGGTAACAGCCGCTCGCGTTGAAAATTGCGTATCGCGAGCAATATATTTTAACGACATCGCTGGCGTTCTCGCGTGACAATGCGGCGGTATAAAAGTTGCGGCTATAACGATAGCTTTTATCTCGCCGCATTCAAGAAGCAAAAGCGCGCACGGTAAAAGTGCAGGGCGGTTACTTGGAGTATGCGCCTCGCCTCGAGGACACGAATAAGGTTTTTTCGCGGCACCTCTCGCGCTCACCTGGTAATTTCCGCAGAGGCAGGTAACAACGTGTCCAGTCTCGGAGACTAGCAAAAGATGGTCCATGCTCTCCAGGGATTTGCTGACGCAGTGGCAGCCACTGTCACCACACTTGGTCTCGCACGGATTGTTCGCCGTCTGTTTCGTGCTACCTTTAACCTGCAAATAGAAACAGCGAGGCTGCAATGTGCAAATAAAGGTCTGCGCAGACAGAAAAAAATGAGGAAAGTAACAGAAACGCACTTAAGTAATTGTTGAGCAATTTTGGAATACATATTTGTGCAAAATTTCTTCACTGCCGCTTTCCGCCTTTGTACACTAAATATGTATTATGAAAACGATTTACATATGCATAAACGTGGTATAAGCGATTAAAGTTGCACGATTCTCTTGGTTCCGTGCGTAGAATTCGTAACACAGATGCAATGTATATCGTTCAGCGCGGAATTACAGTTGGTATGTTTCCATCAGAAATTCAATTGCTGCATTTAATCGTTTTCGGAAGAGTTGCTGAAACTTGTCGCAGTGCCGTTGTTTCACCTTCGAAGCCCTCGCGCGTCTGATCCCGCGGAATATTATTTAAACGCGGATTAGAGGTTCGCGCGAATGCAGATTAAAAGTTTGAGTTTTCAGACTGAAGGGGAATTCTCTCTTCGCGCGCATTTCCGATATCATGGTGTTTGCGTGACGCTCTCTCTTCTTTCGACTGACTTTAATGCGAAAGTTTTTATCCGTAGAGCGATGCTGACGCATCTAAATGCCCGGAATACATTTATTCCGAATTCTCGCGCAAAGGATCGATGCAAAAGAGCAAAAAGGACAATACAAAATGAGAACAATAGAAATGAAACATTTCGTCGGGTGACTCACTGTAATGATCACCGACTGGTTGGGCGCCGGTATGAAGTGCTGTTTGCATTTCACCGGACCTTCCATGGCGAGCAGTCGGTGCGCTTCCGGATGCACCACTGAGCCCTCCACCGGTGATGTCAATCCGTAATATTCGACGTCGCACACGCTGGCAGGCTGCTGAGTGCCACCTTCACGTTCTGGAGCATCACACGAAAAATAAGTCGCTGATGGCGGTGTCAGGAAAAATTATTTTGCAATTTATACGTTGAAAAAATATACAAAAAAAAAAACGCAAGAAATGGCACTTTAATATTTCTATAATATTTGTTGCATAATTTACGGCAGCGAGCTAATTATAAATATTTTCTCAACAAAATATGAATTATTTAATCGAGCGCATCGCGAAGAATCTTGAATACATAATGTACCCTCGTTCTATCGTAATATATTCGTTCCACTTTCGCGAGACTCTTGCAACTTTGTGCCTTTTAGCTTAATTTTTTACAAGATAGTTTCTCGCAGCGAAACACACATGTATATTTCCGCGAGTTATAGAGAAATAAATGCCCTACGAGTGCTTTTATTTCGAGCTAAAGCTTGCTCGGCAGACGGAATTTCCTCATTCCGTTCCTTATACGGTAATTTCACATGATTATTGGCCGCAATTCGGGATCGCCCCGCCTGAATTCGACCCTTTCCCATAAGAAGATCGGTCTCCCCGGGTCGCATAAAGTTTTATGTCCCGGATCGTATTTGGCGTAAGATAAGGTAGGCTGCGGAATTCCGAGAGACCGAAAAAGCTCGATCTTCGTATTCAATGATCGCTCGAGTGCTTCATAAAAAAAAAAAGAAAGAAAAAATAACGAGATGATGGAAATGGGATCCTTGCGCGGGGAAACGTACAGTGCGAATGTGGGATAAAAAAAACCGGCGAGCAAAGTCGCGCTCGCGATCGACGTACATTTTTATTTTCTCCGTTTCAAACGCGATGTTGTTATTTAAGACTTCAAACAATCGGACAGGCGACTGTCCTTATCGATCGCGGCGACGAACGGAGAGTCACATCGGGGCACGAGCGCGCGCGTAACACGTGTAACACGTGTAAACGCAATAACATCGGCCGGCGACACGCTCGCTCTCGTCAATCACCGTTTCATCCAGGAACGGTAGTTTGTCGTCGCGCATGACTTTTGATTCTTGTCATTTACGCCTTTTTTTTATAATGGCCCGTGATTGGATCTGCATGTCGCTCGCTCGTACGATTGCTGTAACGCAGGGGATGGATACGCTACGGCGGCCGGTGGCGTATATTTCATAGGCAACATAAAAAAAAAAAATCTGTCGGAACGAGAATTTGATGTCGATATGATGTGTCGTAAAATTTGGTCGAACGTTTAAAATCTCATCGATATCAAAATTCAATTACTGTTGTTCGTGTTTTTGCCTACTAAAATTTTATTTCGTGTACTATTAGTTTGTGTTGAGGAAAACGCTTTGTCGATTTCAATTTACAACTTTAATGAAATCTGTGTTTAAATTTACGAGAAAAGGAATTACATTTTATCGTTAAAATGAATTAAATAAAGGGATTAAAAAAAGCGTAGAATTAACATTTTTCACGTGTTACACATTTACAAAGAATCATGTAGCTAAAGTGTTATTTTGGAAATCGCAGTAAACGCGCCATTATGTCACCATTTTGAAATTGGATTTAACTTTTTGTTTTCGTAATCTTTTTAACGCACGGCAGTCCGGATTTACAAAATAGTTGTAACAATCGCTAGCGAATTATTTGACCGCGAATAATTGCGGGTAATCCGATGCGCGCGTGTAATGTACCCGTGGAGTCTCATTTTAATCTGCGGAATTGCCCGGCCAAGGAAAGGTCGTAGCTACTTAATCGGGGTTAAATCTAATCTTTGAAACGGGATTAAGCGCAGCCGGTGTTTTTGCAGGGATGGATGCGTCGATATTGCGAATGTGTCCTCCGGCAACCAACCAGAATCCTCGGCCGGGTGCCAAGCGAATTTCAGGATTACCGTTCGGACGTGCCTACGTTCATCCGATTAAGAGGGGAGAGCCGATGCTTTGACATCGATATGCCGAGGCGTATTTACGGTAATTAGTTACTCATAATTAGCGGTTTGGACGCGCCGCGAGCTGTTACTCAAAAAGCTTCGAGCAAAAACCTGATTTGCAGCCGATCAGAGTGATCGGACGCAAATTGCACCGATTATGAAAATGATCCGATCACCGCGTCGTGATCGAGCGCTTGATGGAGACACGTTTTTTTTTGCAAAAAAAGACAACGGACAATTATCGTAGATCGTTAACATATTATTGAACGAAGAAACGATGAAGAACACAAAGAAATGTTTTCTCATCTTCTATACGCAGTTTTCGTGCTATTTAAGGAACTCGCATTCGGCAAATCTAAGACATCGAATTGCAGGATAAATTTTATCGCGCGATCTTTTACGAATTTTCTCAGTCTCGGAGACGTAAAAGACGAAGAAGCTTCTCGGAAGCGCGTAAAGACACGATTCGCGCTCGTAACTCAGGATGGAACAATAAAAAAAAAGGAAGCGAGCGACACCGACGGCGATGGAGCGCCGCGCGAAAAAGTTCACGAGATTTTGTACGATTTTGCGGCGCTTACACGCGAAGTTGATTGTGCGGCGACAGCGCACGGTCATAATCCAATTTTCAGTATGCGACCTTTTATTTCGAGTCCGCACGGCACGCTCGCGCGACACGTTTGTTCGTCCGGCGTACGTTTTCTTTTTTTTTTTTTTACGGCGCGACGTGACGTGATGTAAGACTTACCGTCGTGGAAGTAGTACGAGACCTCCATGTACTCCTCGTCGGTCGGGCTGTTGGAAGCGCGTCTTAAAACCACCGTCATATCCCGGCCGTTGGAAGAGTAGCGCTTCGGCTCGACGTACCTGCAAGAGAAACGAAAAGAGCGAAACGTCATTTACGCCCTCGTGCCGGAGTGCCAAAGTGGATCCGCTTTTCCCACGCTTTCACCGCACGAGCGGCTGCCATTTTCCGGACCGAGACCGGATATAAATCCAACGACAGCCGCCAAGTGCATCGTAAGCAGCTACGACGCGGACGTGTCTAATGAACGGGGCGGTACGATGCTGTAATTCTTTAACGTCTCGCTGTCGAATTAGCTACTTAATGCTCGCGCATCTTGCATCCAAATGTAGATTATAAAAATGTAGATGTCAAAATTTTCAATTTATTTTCTAAGTAAAATCAATTTGTGTGTTATTAATAGATTTTTCAGCCCTAAGAAATTGTCTATGATAAAAACAAAAGAGAAACATCTGCTAATTTATCTTGAAGAAGAGACAAAAAAAAGCCCCTTTGTCTTTCTAGTATCTTCAGTATTAAACGATCGAGGATAAAGATATCACATTTGGCAGTTCTACCGGAAACCCAATCTTATCTCAGGATATATAAAATTTATTTTACGAACCGACGGTTGAGATAACCGAGTAGTTTTGCCCCATGTGCGATGTATAGAGGAACAAAGGTGACGTTCGCCGAAGTCGTACTATGAATAATGATCAAACCGATTTCTGTTGTACACGTGCGTGCGTACGCGCGGGATCCCTGACACTTTTCACCGGGAGCATTTCAGATACGCGGGAAACTTCGACGCGAGTTATTAATTCACGACCATTATGGCAAGGGTGCGAGAGCGTGACGCGCGTAGGCGCGAAAAGGTGCTCCGCGGGAAGTTACACGAGCGCCGGGACAAAGCAGGATGTAAATCTTGCACGTAAGACTCTATTTTCCCGGGGCAAAGTTGTAAATGGACGTCTTGGGAGCCACCCTCTGATAGTGACTCTCTCTCGCGCGCGCGCGAATTGCCTATGGGTTAGTTTTGCAAGATAAATCGGAGCCCTCCCTCTCTTTCTCGTCTTCGCCCTGCGGTGGAAGGCGCCCTTTGTCGCTCGAATAAGCACGGGAGTTACGTCGTCGACTTTCTAACACCGCAGCAACTTTTCCGCATGACGAACGATGTGACGTTAGACGTTCGAAGTTAGTGACGTTTGACGTCTCTTTGAACAACTTTATCGAGATTATCCATATACATCATATTTCTGTTAGACGCATGTCGAAGAGGAACGCTATTTTTCTCAATTGATGGTTCTTTTCTAAATAACAAAACGAATTAGTCGAAGACAAACCTATTGTTAAGTGGACATGAAAAAATTAGAACATAATCGTGATTTTATCCAAAAAAAAAAAAAAAAAAAAAAAGACCTTAATCTTACAGTAAGAATAATTCTTGCGAAATTGGATAAAAAATAAAAATTCTAATATAAAACTTAGCTTGTCGGTTTCATTATTTGTAGACAATCCTAAATCGTCACATTTTATTTTTCCAAAATTTATGTAGTTTCCGAAAGCTATGCGAATTACAGTTCCTTCGCAACGGTAAGTCGTCATTGTAACAGCACGTAAGTTATAAACGCTCACGTTATTTGCAGACTGCATTACAAGCTAACATGATTATCTCCAAAACGGACCGCGATACCTCCCACACGTGAACGGTAGTTTACTTTATCAGCGCGCGGGATAAAGCGACGGCTCGATACGGTTGATCTGTGTCGGTTCATTGGCTGCCCCCGACAGGTAGCACGGGGGTAGCTTTTAGTTGGGTATGGCGTGCGTGAAGATTAAATTACTTGATGGCCATGCCGGATTGATCCTCAATGTATCTCGTGTCCATGCATGGACGGAGATTAAATAGAGCGCGCTCCCACGCGCAACTCACTTGAATAATCGTGATGCCAGTTAGATCTTTCGATCCTTTGTTCCCGGTAATATCGCTCGCAATGCGTGATAGCACGATTGTTGGCCCGTGTCCAATGATTCTGGATGTACATACTACTGCATACTAATGCATGCGCCCTTGCTCTTCCCCTCGTATATTTCAAAAATTTAAATTTATCTAAATTATTACTTGAGAAATCCCGCCGAAAGCTACTTTCAACATGTTTCTCAGTATTGCGTCTATTTTTCGACACGGCAAAATTTCAAGTCCACTTTCTCGGCTTTGCTAACCTCCAGTTTGCGAACCTCGTTTTAGTTTGCATCGTCTTAATATAGTTTCGGGAGTGGAAGACGGCGGCCAGAGATTCGGCGGATCGAGTCGCGCGATGGGAAACGTGCCGGTTGCGAGCGGCGGCGAGGGGCGGCGGACGTGCGAGGCGGATGAAGCACGAGCGTTATTTCGCATGAATTTTTACGAGATTAGCCGACATAAAACACGCGGCAGTCCCATAGGCACGTACGTACGTACGCTGCATCCGGGCGGGCGGCTGCTGCTGCTACTGCCGCCGCTAAGCATAAATCGTCTAGGGACCGGCTGGGACGACGAGGCAACGTTAGAAATTAAAATAGATTAAAAACTGCCAGTGGCGTCAGCAAGACGGGCAAGGGGCGCGCGCGCTCGCGCGATGAATATCGCTCTCGCCGGAAACGGAAATGGTCCACCCTTCGTTTTACAGTCGAACGGAAGCCCGTCGTCGTCTGCGAGCCGCGGGGCTCCGCGATTTCAGCGATTGTAGATGATGTAGCGTGCGATTTTTAGTTTTTCATCCACCCTCCGTCTCGCAAGACGCGATTATTCGTCGTCTCTCTGTGGAGCTTCCGATGTTCGCAGGAATGTCGAGGTAGTTCCTAAATTTTATATCCCACGAAAATGCATTCATCATATTTATATCCCAATATCTAATATTTCGCGAGAGTTTTGTTAAATTTTCAAATGAAAATGGACTATAAAACTTCCGCGCTGTCAAAATCATGTAAAGAACTTTATTTCCGAATTGAAATAAAAACAGCGCTCTTCCGCGTCGTGGTTCGCTTTTCAAATCCACTTAGAAAGCTTTTAAATTGCGGGACATATGTGCGAGTGGCGTTATCACAATATTTCAGGCTTTTTACCGCACGTATCCGTGAATCGTAGAGCCCGGTCTGACGTAAGCCCGGCGAATCGATCGCGCTGCATATCGGTGCTGTACCGGTAGCGACGGCGGCGGCGGCGCCTCGAAATCTCTTTTGGGAAATCTCTTAGCCCGCTTCGCGCATCGCTCGTTTGGCCGCTTCGCTGGTCGATTCTCCTCCTTTTTGCGCCGGCCGCATCAACTTCAACCCCGATGGACGGGGCATCCGCGCGACAGACATTTCGCGTCCGTCCATTTCCCACGGCTTGCATAATGCATGGCGGCCGCTGGCTACTCCGACGACGACGTCGCTATCTCGAAAGTCCCCTTTGCACTTATCTCCGTCCCTCTCTCCCCGAGGTCAGTCGGTCGACAGCCTGCCGGCCCGCCGGAATCCGAGTTCGCGGGTCACCGCTGGCTTCCAGCCTCGAGAGGAATCACGCGATACCTTTGTTTGTCGTCGCTCGGCCTGTTTCCACGGCCGATTGATCAACCTCGTCTCTGGAGGCTTCCACGTCGAAGCTCCGTTCCGCAAACTTGTTCCGCATATATACAAATCGCACGCGCGATGGATTCCATTCTTTTTCTCGGCGAGCCGGCCGTAATTTTTTTTTCATTTTCCTTTTTGTGCTAGTTGCAGGCGTGTAGTTTTGGTCTCTCGTTGCGGTCCGCGAGCACGTTTTGAGCGGAATTCCAAGTCGCATGGTGTTGTCTATAATTGCGAAACACAATGGAGACAAAAGACACCTGACGTGACATCTGACCGAATAATCGTCGGAGTAGGAATTTCTAAAAATTTAGGGTTTATAGGATGCAATTCGCACTGCTCACGTGCCATGTCACTCCTCGATATGTATAGCTGAAAATCTTCTTCAAATATCTTTCACGTCACGTTTTTCATTTGATATGACCTCTATTTTACCTCCTTTGAATTCTTATCAAGCATCTTATCTTACATCGATATCTCGACTCGATCACGGCCGAGGCACGTATTACGAATAAAAATTGCTGTCATGATAATTTATCGTGGAATTTGTTTTTGAGAAATAAATCTCGCTTGCCTTTGTATGCAAGGTTTAATTGTATAAAAATTTTTTATCCTTTCATGCGCGTTTCGTCTAATTCATTTTACGATCAAATGCTGCAAAGTCATAAATTCTAGAACAGAGAAGGGTATTAAACGGATTAGCCGATATTCTATCAACGTCCAGCACGCGCCCGCATTTATTATTATTCACGCCAGTGAATCGATCGGCATTAAATGTTTACGATGTCGAAAGAATGGCATCCATAAAATGCGCGTTTCAATGTGAAGGCTTGGCCGATCGCACGCGAGGATTTGTATCATAAATGATAGGCAAACGATAGAGTCCAGTTTCCTTTGAATGAAAACAGCGCATCGCTGTGTGCCCCGCGTGGACGCGAAATTACACGATTCGCATATATCTCGCCATAACACACAATTAGATCGAATTAAATGTTTACAACAAAGATATCACGCTCGTAAAATGTGTAGAACGTGTTCTATTCGTATAAATCCAGCGTACGTATTTTAATAACGCGAGTGATATGTGGTATATACGTTACATTTTATGAGAGAATATTGCGCGCCAGAAAAGTCGCGCAAAGATGTAAAGCAATGCACAATAAACAGAAGTCGAATAAAAGTTACAAAAAATTATTCTTTCCGTAGAATCTTAGTGCTCGCACGAAATTGATATGTCTGCTTCGCGCATCTAGTTATTTAATTAAACGAAAAAATTTATCGTAAAATTGACCGCAAAATAACTTTTCTGTCATAATATGCATTATCGTGGAAAGGTTATGAGAAAAGGTACACACGCAACCAGCTGCCCTAGTTTACGCTATAAATTTTTGTTACGCTTTTTTTATTGATACGCGCTCTTGCGACAACACTGGAATTATACATAACTGGGAACAGCTGAAAAAAAATGGAATAAAGAATTTTGAAATAAGGAATTTCGGTCACATAAATATTATCAATGCACGAGAATACCGTACCTATAAAATATACATTCGCAATACAAATGTGCACGTAATGTATACAGGATATTTCCAAAATTGCATATTTTTTCCGAAATAAGAATAAAAAATGTGTCTTTTATACTGCTAAAACGACGTAACGTTATTATTTCAAAAATATCAAAAAAATAATAAAAAAACTTCAATATTAAAGTTAATAGACTTTAGTTCAGCGTAAAAAATTAAAAATTTAATAAATAAATAAAAGTAAAATTAAGAGTTCACCTGCCTTTTCGCTAGAAAATTCACCCGAGAATCGAGAGATGCATCGCTTCCAGAGCACTCTACATGAATAAACTGCATCGGCTTTTATGGTGCCGCGGCGACGACTGAACGGTTTCAGATAACTACCTGCACGTCCTCTGACATCTTTTCATTCGAGTATGTGCTCGGCGTAAATGCGAGAGAGCGCCGTGGAATGTACAGCGCGGGGTGGGCCGGGGCGCAGCCATCTTTCATACTTTGACTTCCGGCGAGATGAGTATGAGGTATCGCTTTGCGTGCCGCCGTCTGGTTCTCGGATGGAGACGGATGATAGATCTGCCGGGGCTGTTTTATGATTACGCGCCGACGATCTCTGGCTGTTTCCTCTCGGTGTTACGACACGGCGCTTGCTTCCGTTTCAGCCGTAGTCGCGCGCCCGAGGTGTAATGAATAATCCTCAAAGTATACATTACGGAGAGGCGAGTCGCGTGCTAACGTTCGGAGATAAGAGACGTCGAGAAATAAAGAAGTTCGCAGCGAGACTCGCCATCGCCGTTCGCGACGGAATGCTGCATCGATTAATCGATTGTACCGCGGTCGCATCTCGAGTTAGAAACTAATCTCCATTTTGATGCAGGATTCTAAGGAGACTTAACCGGTTCTGCGGCTTTAAGCCGCATTGCGCGCATTGCAAATTGCCCAGAAATCCCGAAATTTACCAAACTTACAATTACAATGCATCATCGATAAACCGTACGATGGTATCTCCCTAATAACCGCTCTAATAACTAGAGAGAGAATATCCACTTACTTATCCTGACTCGCGAGTTCCCGCGGGAGCCACTGCGCAGGGCTGCAGATCCTCTCCAAGGAATTGGCGGTACCCAGCATCCCGCTTTCCAGCGACCCGTCGAATATCTCGATCGTCGACTGGCAGGACGGCGCGCTGTAAAATCGATAGCGGGAACATATCTATCAGTGGATTTTACGATGAACCTCGCGCCGTCGAAATTCGTCGTCTCGGCGAGAAAATTCTACGTCAACATCTTAACTATAAATTTTTACGTAGAGAATTTGAAGGATTTGACAATATATCACATTTTTTTGAGAAAATAAACGTAATTTTGTAATTTCGACAATTTCAGAATTTATTTTATCAAATTCTTAAGAGGACTAAATTTTCTGCAACGAATTTATTCGCCTGTCGATTCCTTTTCTTCGATTCTTCAAAACAATCGTTAAAAAATTTTCGCTGTTTTAAAATAATCCGTAAATGCATCATTTGAGCCAAAGTATTCGAACGTCGCGTTTCGCTCGCTCTAATCGCCTCACAGCGCGACGCGCTGGAAAGGAAGTTGTAAATCCGACACGGATGTCGCTATTACGCGCGCCCGCTCATGTATCGTGAAACATGTAAAGAGGAGAAATACGGGGGTCGGTCGGGTGCGAGGAAGGCGCGATATTCCCTGTGCTCGGAGATACTTTCTCGCTTCACCTGGCGTTCGGATTTACAATATTCCGCTCAAAATTCATGCTACCTTCCATAAAGCCCTCCCACGTCCTTACGTCTCGTAAACGCGCGCGCGCGCGTCTTCAGTTTATATCAACTTATATATCCGCCGTCTCGGAGACCAACAATGGCGTGTTCGCGTGCAGCGCCAAGGGGGCTGTTGTCGGCGGGTATGAGTCGCGGTGGTTTCATACCTCCCCCGCGGCGTGTTCCACCGGTACCACGGCAGAACATGTCTCCGAAGACGCGGATACGCATTTCGCATGTCGCCGCGGTGTTGCATGTGCATGATAATTGAAAATCCCCGGGATACGGACGCGACATGTTTCCTTCCTCTCCCGTGTGATTTAATGCTACTTTCTTCGCGTCGCCGCGTTTCGATAAGTTACGCGCTAACAAGGGATCCGCGTGTAGACGAACGGCACGTTCGGCGGCGTAACAGTTTTCCTACACGGAGCGCACGAGGGATGTCAAACGATATCACTCGAATACTTCGACGCAACCGGATTTTTAGATATTAATTAATGTTGATGTTACGTTCCAATTTATGTGAAGTTTATACCAATATTGTTTCAAATAACAAAAGCGAGAATCGTGGCATTTGTCCGATGTATTAATCAATAGCACACAACCACCGATCATTTTTACAACCGTCGCGATTCCAAAGTTACGATCGTAACACGCTGCGCATTTGCTGGGATTGGCAGGCGCGATTGAAAACGGTAAACAAACGCGAAATGCAATTCCGCACACGGTGCCACCCGCCGTGTTACGTGATTGCAGTTTCTCCCGGTCTTTGAGTTTACGCGATTGGCAGCGCAGTGCAGCGCTGATGGAAGAGACACGAGGAGACGGGAAAGCGCGGTTTCTTACCTTCGACCGCGCTCGCACGTGCGTCTCAACGTGTGATTTAGAAGGTTTATGGGGTTACCTCAGGTTGTAACTGGCCAGGGAAACGTGTCCGGTATCGTAAGCGCGTCCACGCAGCACGAGCCTGCACGTCGTGGACTTGGGCTTGCCCCTGGTGTCGTGGTGGCCTGCCCGCACCTTCTCGCCGCTCACCTCGAGGTCGCAGCTGCTGGTCACGGCGCCTTGGTTCTTGCGGTGAAGGTCGTGGAGGTCGCGGTTGTTGTAGCTCACGGTCTTTATCGTTTCGACTGCAACATTAGATAGACTGGCAATGTGAACGACTCCTTGTTTTGAGATAACATAAAATTGAGATGGAAAATTAAATTAAAAAATTATATATTTTGAGAAGTGTAAGCAGTATTAATCACATTTAAGTCTGCAAGTATTTAAATAAATATATTGTGAATAAATTTTTTAAATTTCATTCTATTTATTATAAAGATTATAAATATGTGACTTTCCTAATTAACTTAGAAAAATTGCACATATTAAAAAATAAATCTTAGGCTAAATAAGCGCGATGATTGATATCATAATATGTAAGTAAAACACTTATTTCTTGTTACTCACGGCTTTTATTTGTGGTGTCGACAGCGATTGTCGTTGGAGCTTCCGTTGTTATTTCTACAAAATTCAACGTCGCGACGAAGCCGTTATAATCAAAGGGTGATACCTCAGGACCAGTTCTGTAAAATGATACGAATTTTCCTGAAGATGTCAGACAATAAAATATTTAAATTAAATAAGAGTTCGGAGCAAATTGACCATCTGGCGTTCTTGGAGAAAAACGCATTTCTCACCTGAATTCAACAAGGAGCTCTTGGCCGTCGTACATCAGCGCCGTCTTCTCTTTGCCGCAGAGCATCTTCAGCAACGGACTCGACGTAGTCGGGCCCGAGTAGACGGCAATGTAGTCACTGGTGCAGTGGCTGTAACGAGAATATTTCCATAAAAGATCACTCTGTTTGGGGCGATTTAAGGACTTCGACACTCTCTTCGTCTTTCGCGTGCCGAGACAAACGCCGGAAGGTGGATGGAGAGAATGGGACGGCGGGACGTGGAGAGAAGCTATCGAAAACGGTCGGGAATCGTGTACCGATTTATCAGGGAATTCAAGAGGATGAACTGGATTCAAAGGGAGAGAGGGATGTGCTGTGGAAGTTTCGCCATTAAGAAAATATCCAATATTACCGGTAAGGCAGAAGCGGCTGTGCCGAATTACCGCGATGGGACGGGCGTGATTTATTTTACGAGGGAACTTCATCGCTGTACGCCCGCAAGGACGATCCCTCACAGCTGGGATCACGAAAATGCGATTTTAATAATGTGGCCAATTAGAGGTCATCGTGGCTTTCCGGAGGAGATTGGCCGTACCTTCGGATTACCGTGTAGACGGCCAGTGATTAAAATAGTCCCCGCGCAATTATCGCGCTGGTATTATGTCGTGCTACATTATTGACGAACTCTAAAGTAAAACCATTCCTGTCGCTTCCGCGAAATTTTAGATATAATATTTTACATCAACGCGCTTGTAGATTTAATATTACACGCGGCGCGTTCTTTGAAAATAAACAAAATTAAAAATATATACTATAACTGTTGTTAGAACTATCGATGTTGCACAAATAAAAAAATAGTAAAGCAATAATTTTTATTATATTTGTGTGATGATTAATGAATATATATTATTATTTTTTAATAACGTTACACGTAAAGAATCTAAAAATTCTTTGGAGATGTAACGTTTTACTGATATGAAGGAATTTTGTATTCCATAATCAAAACGTATCTTAATCCATCTCAAATATTACAGTCAAGTTGATGCTGTAAGCGCGCCAATGTGAAATATTCGACTGGTATTCGCCAAGATTCTGAAGAAGCCGTTCTAAACACGTAACAGGTGCTTCACAAACTTTTCTCATAATTCTAATTAATTACCTCGAAGTACGAGCGTGAAGAAATTAATGGGAAAACTTTGTTGCTCACGGTTCGATTTTGCCGGCTAAATTTTGCAGTTAAAATGAAATTCCATACTTCAAGTTTCGCTGTCTCGTCTTGGATGTGCGATTCAGGGTTATGTTAATCTTCCCCGAGGTGCACGACAGCTGACATTAAAACGCGTGCAACGCAGATCGCCACAGATTAATTGCAACATATAGCATATTGCACTGTAGCTTATCAATTTCCATTTAAAACTTTCTACATGACGCACATAATCTTTGCGCTGTTTCGATCCATCGTTTTGAATGATTTTTTTTCTTTTTTTTTTATTAGGTTTGTTTCGTCGGATACATTTTCTCGCATTTAGTTAATCCATTTTTTACCAATACTCCTCTACGTACAATACTTTATCCCGCAGCACATATGCTATTTCCCGCAATGGTATTAAATTTTCTCGTTTCTCTCGTTTTATTTCTTAAACGCTCTCTCACACGCGAGCTCATCGCCCCCGATAAATTAGATCCCATCCCATGAACGGCGTGAACAATGAACAGGCCGTAATTATTTCCATTAGGAGAGAGCCGTGGTAGAAAGGGCGGACTGCCGTCGGTCGGGGACGGATCGCCGCCGCGGAAATAGTTCTGTACGTCATTTTCTGCCCGAGCGGCTCGAACACCGGAAAATCGGATTCCTCCAGCCCCATTTCGCGCGAGGTTTGCGTCGCCCGATCTCGTCGTAGAACGGAAAAGAAGCGAGGAGGCCATCCCCGACGGCACAGAGCCCGCATTGTGCCCGGTAACACTCGTTACAAAATGCCCCCAGATAACGTGGCGCAAATCCGCCGGAGTAAATTAAAAATTGCCCGCACGAACCTTCGTCCCGTCGATTCCCGCGGTTTCCTGCGCGAAACCCGCCGCGAACACGATGGGCGGCTTTATGCAAACTAGATATTCCGGTTCGCAAATATTCTCGTTTCGCGAAATCA